CCTACTGTGATGGAATATGACAGAGAAATTCACCTACTGTGATGGAATATGACAGGGTAATTCACCTACTGTGATGGAATATGACAGGGAAATTCACCTATTTTGATGGAATATGACAGGGAAATTCACGTACTGTGATGGAATTTGACAGGGAAATTCACGTACTGTGATGGAATATGACAGGGAAATTCACCTACTGTGATGGAATATGACAGGGAAATTCACCTACTGTGATGGTGTATGACAGACAAATTCACCTACTGTGATGGAATATGACAGGGAAATTCACCTACTGTGATGGAATTTGACAGGGAAATTCACCTACTGTGATGGAATATGACAGGGAAATTCACCTACTGTGATGTTATATAACAGGTAAATTCACCTTCTGTGGTGGAATATGACAGGGAAATTCACCTACTGTGATGGAATATGACAGAGAAATTCACCTACTTTGATGGCATATGACAGGGTAATTCACCTACTGTGATGGAATATGACAGAGAAATTCACCTACTTTGATGGCATATGACAGGGAAATTCACCTACTGTGATGGAATATGACAGAGAAATTCACCTACTTTGATGGCATATGACAGGGAAATTCACCTACTGTGATGGAATATGACAGAGAAATTCACCTACTTTGATGGCATATGACAGGGAAATTCACCTACTGTGATGGAATATGACAGGGTAATTCACCTACTGTGATGGAATATGACAGGGAAATTCACCTACTGTGATGGAATATGACAGGGTAATTCACCTACTGTGATGGAATATGACAGGGAAATTCACCTACTGTGATGGAATATGACAGGGTAATTCACCTACTGTGATGGAATATGACAGAGAAATTCACCTACTGTGATGGAATATGACAGGGTAATTCACCTACTGTGATGGAATATGACAGGGAAATTCACCTATTTTGATGGAATATGACAGGGAAATTCACGTACTGTGATGGAATTTGACAGGGAAATTCACGTACTGTGATGGAATATGACAGGGAAATTCACCTACTGTGATGGAATATGACAGGGAAATTCACCTACTGTGATGGAATATGACAGAGAAATTCACGTACTGTGATGGAATATGACAGGGAAATTCACCTACTGTGATGGAATATGACATGGAAATTCACCTACTGTGATGGAATATGACAGGGAAATTCACGTACTGTGATGGAATATGACATGGAAATTCACCTACTGTGAAGGAACATGACAGGGAAATTCACCTACTGTGATGGAATATGACAGGGAAATTCACCTACTGTGATGGAATATGACAGGGAAATTCACCTACTGTGATGGAATATGACAGGGAAATTCACCTACTTTGATGGAATATGACAGGGAAATTCACCTACTGTGATGGAATATGACAGGGAAATTTACCTACTGTGATGGAATATGACAGGGAAATTCACCTACTGTGATGGAATATGACAGGGAAATTCACCTACTGTGATGGACTATGACAGAGAAATTCACCTACTGTGATGGAATATGACAGGGAAATTCACCTACTGTGATGGAATATGACAGGGAAATTCACCTACTTTGTTGGAATATGACATGGAAATTCACGTACTTTGATGGAATATGACAGGGAAATTCACCTACTGTGATATAATATAACAGGGAATTTCACCTACTGTGATGGAATATGACAGGGAAATTCACCTACTGTGATGGAATATGACAGGGAAATTCACCTAATGTGATGGAATATGACAGGGAAATTCACCTACTGTGATGGAATATGACCGGGAAATTCTCCTACTGTGATGGAATATGACAGGGAAATTCACCTATTTGATGGAATATTGCAAGGAAATTCACCTTCTGTGATGGAATATGACAGGGAAATTCACCTACTGTGATGGAATATGACAGGGAAATTCACCTACTGTGATGGAATATGACAGGGAAATTCATCTACTGTGATGGAATATGACCGGGAAATTAGCCTACTGTGATGAAATATAACAGGGAAATTCACCTACTGTGATGGAATATGACAGCGAAATTCACCTACTGTAATGGAATATGACAGAGAATTTCACCTTCTGTGATGGAATATGACAGGGAAATTCACCTACTGTGATGTCATATGACAGGGAAATTCACCTACTGTGATGGAATATGACAGGGAAATTCACCTACTGTGATGGAATATGACAGGGAAATTCACCTACTGTGATGGAATATGACAGGGAAATTCTCCTACTTTGATGGAATATGATATGGAAATTCACCTACTGTGATGGAATATGACAGGGAAATTCACCTACTCTGATGGAATATGACAGGGAAATTCACCTACTGTGATGGAATATGACAGGGAAATTCACCTACTGTGATGGAATATGACAGGGAAATTCACCTACTGTGATGGAATATGACAGGGAAATTCACCTACTGTGATGGAATATGACAAGGAAATTCACCTACTGTGATGGAATATGACAGGGAAATTCACGTACTGTGATGGAATATGACAGGTAAATTCACCTACTTTGATGGAATATGACAAGGAAATTCACCTTCTGTGATAGAATATTACAGGGAAATTCACCTACTGTGATGGAATGTGACAGGGAAATTCACCTATTGTGATTGAATATGACAGGGAAATTCACCTACTGTGTTGGAATATGACAGGGAAAACACACTCTCTCTGATGGAATGTGAGAGGGAAATTCACGTACTGTGATGGAATATGACAGGGAAATTCACCTACTGTGATGGAATATGACAGGGAAATTCACCTACTGTGATGGTGTATGACAGACAAATTCACCTACTGTGATGGAATATGACAGGGAAATTCACCTACTGTGATGGAATTTGACAGGGAAATTCACCTACTGTGATGGAATATGACAGGGAAATTCACCTACTGTGATGTTATATAACAGGTAAATTCACCTTCTGTGGTGGAATATGACAGGGAAATTCACCTACTGTGATGGTATGACAGGTAAATTCACCTACTGTGATGGAATATGACAGGGAAATTCACCTTCCCTGACGGACATCAACAGACTGATCTCAAAACTCGCGCAAGACAGAACAGTTTGAAGACGTTCACAAGACGCATTCTCAAGG